TTTCTTATACAGTGTTGAAGTAGGAATATATGTAATCGCTTCCCTCAGCTGAGCTCAGAAGAGTTTCCTATACAGTGTTGGAGTAGGAATATATGTAATCGCTTTCCTCAGCTGAGCTCAGAAGAGTTTCCTATACAGTGTTGGAGTAGGAATATATGTAATCGCTTTCCTCAGCTGAGCTCAGAAGAGTTTCCTATACAGTGTTGGAGTAGGAATATATGTAATCGCTTTCCTCAGCTGAGCTCAGAAGAGTTTCCTTACGACTTCAGGTAGAAGGATACAGAAAACACGAATAATCTCCCAGAATTTCCATATTATCACCAACACATATATAGTTGACCATTTGCGTATATTAAAACATAGCAACAACTGCACTAATCGTTGTTGAAATAACAATTGTTATGATATTAAATTCAAGTTTGTTTTCATCACCAACAACGACCAACCTCCCTTACTTTTCGCATCAGCCCAACATCAGCGCTAGTCCGCGGAAAATCATATTGCAACAAGCAGTCAACCAGCCAGGATAAACTACTCGGGGATAAACCAGCCACCGCAACTTCCAATTGCACCTATAAAAGAAAATATCGCGCGCCACGAAAATGTTATCCCAGGACTTTTCTCACTAATTATTCACAAGTTTACATATAAATTTGGATAGAAGTCTATGAAAACCAACATTTTTTCTCTTAAATCTTCCTCAGATTTTCCATATTCTCATTATTATACGTCATAAATATCATGAAAATTCTGAAAAAAATATCAAGACTTGTGTTACAAATTTCTGACCATTTGCATATTTCACTGCGTCAAAGCCCACCTCAATTAGTCGCTCAATTAGTGCAGTCAAACGACCACCATTGAATCTGACCACACAGTAGCTGACAAAGCTGCAAGAACGTGTTCAAGCTCAAAACATTCCTCATTTAGTATAGGAGTTTATATACGAATTAGGAGAATTCACGAGAAATGTACAGAAACTAACGAAAATTTTCCAAATTTTTTTCAGAGTTTTCGTATTCTCGCCAACACATGTGGTTGACATTGTGCATACTTTATTACACGGGTAGCTTACTAATTCAACACGACGGTATAACACTATGCGAACGGAGCTTATACTGGAGTTACACCCTAGTGATATGAAAAACACTAGTGAAAAATATATTTCGTATTTCACTTCGTGGAAAACTCATACAACCAGTGAAAACCGCGTGAAACACATGATGTGTTTTACGTGAAATGTGGTCATTTGTCGGGTATGATTCGCCAAGGTTCAATGGAGTATTACGCCACCACACGTAAAACGCGTGAAACTCGAATGTATACTCTGCATGCACAGAAAATGCCCATATTTTCTCTGTGTATCCATTGGAGTTTCACGACTACCCGTTTTACGTGAAGTGGCGTCGTAAAACTCGGTGAAAAACGCGATATTCGCGGCGATATGCAGTAGTCGTGAAATATGTTTTTCACTAGTGTTTTTCATATCACTAGGGTGGTGAGACTCCAATCATTTCAAGTTATTACTCCACACATACCACTCGGAAGAGTGTACTTCATATTTCCTGTGAAAATATGGAGAAACTCTCATCACCACCGCGTATCGTGTAGTGGCCAGAAATGTATGGAAAAATTCCCCCCACCGGGGATCGACCCCGCGACCTTACTTGCCAAGGAAGGCCATGATTCCTAAAAAGCCATGACCGTTCAACTGCAACGGTTGGCCTTCTCCCACTGATAACAACTCGTCGAGGCGATCTGTGATTGCTAGGAAAATATCATCATCATACTTCGCGAAGTTCAAGTAAGACCAACACACCTAAACAAATACTCATCGGGAATTTCACGACTAACCGTTTTGCGTGAAAACTCGGTGTAAAACGCGATATTCGCGGTGATATGTAGTAGTCGTAAAATATGCTTTTCACTAGTGTTTTCATATCACTAGGGTAAAACAGCAATGAAATGCAGATAGTAATATCTGACAGATCTAGAAAGGCAATTTGAAACCACATATTTTATATTTCATAAAAATATTTTTCACAGTGTTCATGTGAACAAAATGCGCATATATACATAACATGAACATGATCATCTCAAAATTGTAAATCAAAGTTTTTCAATGATCATTTAACCATCAATTGCACATAGCCTTGCAGAACATATTACTAAGTAGGACCGCTGATACTCGTTATTCAACATCGCAAAAATCACATTTACTGAATTCACAATTCACCAAAATTAGTTATCTATCACCACACTGTTCCTCTTTACTCAGCAAAGTGCGTTCCGCCAATATCGCCTTGCTTTTTTAACTCACAATTCTAATGGTATCAAAGTACTCAAGTAAACCTATACAATGGAGTTTTTCTCCCGACATATAAAACACTTCGCGAAAAACACAACGTGAAACGCTGAGAGTATTTCCCGTAAACTGAGACGATCTAACCGATGTGATTCACCAAGTGCTTTTCAATTCACTTCATATCACCGCGAATATCGCGTTTTTCACATGGAGTATTACGCCACTTCACGTAAAACGGGCTGTGAAACTCCAACGATTACGCACACAACCAAGAAAGCTAATTTTTTCTGCGTATAATACTAGTTTTCGATCGATTTTCCCAATAATTGAATAATTTCATTCCCCAACCTACCGCTGCTATCGCTGAAGGCTGCGCAGTTTTTCTTATCAAACCTTCCGTGGCCATTCTCACTTTCAGAATTTCCATCTAAACATCACATACTCCACTACACTTGCGAATGAACAACTCCTTTTTTATATCACAATTTTTATAAATCCAGAACTACTTTACACTACGTGTGAATTTGATCGATGCAAATGTGTGTTATTTTGTTGGATAAATTATAATGAACAAGTTGTCGCTATCATCACACTCCAAAACGGGTACTTTCATCACAACATATGTTACATTGTATATGCGATATAGTTTCAGATCGATTCTTATTAATCTCGGAAAATAACACACATTTGTATACCAAATTGCCACGCACTATAAAAAATATCTTAGGTTCACTCTAGTAAGATACAGAATAGGTCCATCACCACCATCCTCCTCACCATGTAATCATGATACACTCCAACCTTGGAAAACGCCGCCAACAGAACGCCGATTTCTGCTATGGTTAAACTCGACGATAGAGACACCACTCGGGCAGCTAGCGTGTCGAAGAAGTTGGCTCCTACTACGGAAACTGAGAGAATATAAAACACTAAATCAATCTAGTTGAAGTAATATGAGTTCGCAATCACTTTTGGAGGAATATATGTTCGGTCTCCTCAGCTGAGTTCAGGAGTTCATATACAAATTCGACAACACTGATTTTCCAAAATGTCAAAGTCAGATCATGCTTAGTTGCTCAACAGTGGTGGGTGCTGGGAAGCGAGTTGGACGAGCTCAACGGAGAGCGTGGTCCATCGGGTGCTGGGAAGCGAGTTGGACGAGCTCAACGGAGAGCGTGGTCCATCCCGCAACACACAACCGTCGTTAGCTATGGAGGAGTACGTATGCACATAATTTTTGGGCGTGCGCAAACTAGTGCATGGTTCTTTCTTTGACCGTGTCCAATGAATTGAACGTTGATCAAATGACGAAAAAAAAACTGGTTCTCACTACGGAAACTAAGTGGATGCAAACCATTAAAACGACAAAGTTAAAATCAAAAGCAGTGTTAAAGGGATATATATTTGCTTTCCTCAGCTGAGCTCAGAAGAGTTTCCAAAGCTAATTATATAATTTTCTGTACGAATACAACAACAATAATGTCCCAAAATGTCCAAGTTTCGAAGAAATTGGCTATTCTCACTACAAAAACTGACGGCATTCAAACCACGTGCATGTGTTGGTGACACTATGAAAATTTTTTAAGGGGGGGGGGGGGGAATTTGGTAAATTCATAATGGTTTATGTACACTTCTACTCGAATTTGCATGCGAACTTCTATAATTAGCTTTGGAAACTCCTGAGCTCAGCTGAGAAAAGCGATTACATATATTCCTACTCCTACACTATTACTTACAGAGTACTTATGCATCACTACGGTAGTGTTAATGACAAAATAGAAGTAAAATTATATAAATTCCAAACATTGGAGTTTCACCACCCTAGTGATATGAAAAACATATTCCACGGCTACTGCATATCACCGCAAATATCGCGTTTTTCACCGAGTTTTATGCCGCCACTTCACATAAAACGGGTAGTTGTGAAACTCTACTCATTAACCCCTTACTCTGGCTCTTTGGATTCTCCTCCTCGTTGTTGAGCTCATCCTGACCAACCTGAAATGCGTGCCAACTTAATACACAAATGTCGTTTTCCGAGATCAATGGAGTTTCACCACCCTAGTGATATGAAAAACACTAGGGAAAAACATATTTCACGACTACTGCATATCACCACGAATATCGCGTTTTTCACCGAGTATTACACCACTTCACGTAAAACGGGTAGTCGTGAGACTCCATTTCAACTGCATATCAAATGCACACACACTGTGTAACCAAGTGCATCGAAATATAATTCCTAACGTTCACAATCTAGACGTTTATAAGAGTAGTGAGCATGAACGATTTACGGATAGCATATTGTGGGAATAAATCGCCCATTTTCATCGATTCGATACAGTGGAGTTTAATTTATATGAAAAACACATTTCACATTCCATCTCACGAAAAACGCATGAGAAGTGAATAACACGTAAAACACATGATGCGTTTCACGTCATATGGGGTGATTTGTCCGGTGTAACCAATATGGTGCTCCAAACCAACTTGAAAAATAGTTTACTAAATTTCGGCTTTCAACCTGATACCTCAACATGATCTCGGCAAAAATATTGCAAAAATACTGCGAACATATTCCAAAAATATTGCGAAAATTTCGCGAAAATATTGCAAAGATTTTGCGAAAATGTACATGCAAAGCTAGGCTCTCCTCCTGCCCTTTTTCCTCACCAATTTAGTTGCTGCTACAGCGTGATGCATAAGTTGCGCCTTAAAACCACCTTTGGGGGTAGACCGCCGCGGTCGAGTTATATCTCGTTCATCCGAAAGGTCTCGGGTCAGCTTTAACAGTGTCCTGAAATTCAACGAGAAATAGTGGAAAAATGATGAAATTTTTTGCTGTCCTGAAATTCAACAAGAAATAGTGGTAAAATGAAGAAATTTTTTGATCCTGAAATTCAACGAGAAATAGTGGGGAAAAATGATGAAATTTTTTTATCTAAAATTCAACGAGAAATAGTGGGGAAAAATGATGAAATCTTTTGCTGTCCTGAAATTTATTGAGAAATAATGAAAATTTTGATGAAATTTTTTGCTGAAATTTTTTGTAACACAAAAAACTGTCTCCTTTCAGTGTTCTAGCATAAATCCTCTCATTATCTGTAGTGAACTAAGCCAAACCCAAGTATACTTGTTGTTGATAGAAGTAGCAGGTTTATGAATACAACTGTGAAGGTCTGTGAGATTCAGCTCGTGTGAGCTGTTCTCTCTCGTGATATCTGTCCCATTGTAGTTTATTCTCGCTGAGCTGAGCTGCAGTTATTCGCATATCAGTGAAGTTTCACAACCCATTTTACGTGAAGTGGTGTTGTAAAACTCCATGGAAAACGCGATATTCGCGAAGCCTTGCAATGGTCGTGAAATGTGTTTCTCATATCACTAGGGTGGTAAAACTCCAGTGATGATCACAAGCTGAGTATCTCTAGTATGACGTTGAGTTCTAGCTCTCAATAACAACCAACATACCTTGAACATTATATATACGTGCTCGAGCATTACGCTAAAATGACGCTACTACAACAAAATATCGATAATGACGGTAATAAATGCTATAGCACATATTTTTCGTGAAACCGTTTCCACTTGTAATTCTCACCAACTTTATTGAAACCACGAACTCATTTCTTACCAATTGGAGTTTCACCACCCTAGTGATACGAAAAACATTAGTGAAAAACATATTCCACGACTACTGCATATCACCGCGAATATCGCGTTTTTCACCGAGTTTTACGACGCCACTTCACGTAACACGGTGGTGAAACTCTAATGTACTTGCGTTAAGATGATTATGCACACCGAGACTAAGGACTCCGTCCCCATACGCTTACCTCGCCCTGCTAGCCCCTTGCTTCACAACTAGCGTTTTCATAGCAACATCCCTAGTTGCTGATACCAACGATGTTGTCACCGTGCAAAAACGTTTACATACATTTTCAGATATCATGTGAACAACACTGACGAGGAAAAAGGAACTTCAATTTATCAAAAATTTTCGGATAATTTTTCCAATATTTTAGTAGTATATGCTGTTATTTTTTTCCGATTGAAATTCGTGAAATTTTGAAAATTTCTTCATTTTTTCACGAATCTCTTCCACTTTTTACACTTCTCATTTCTAAGAATTATTTTCCGTTTTTTTTTCATTTTCCGAATGAATTTCTTCAAATTTTGAAAATTTCTTCATTTTTTTCACAACTTTTTGCTATTTTCTATACCTATTTTTGAGATTCATTAATTTTCCATCTTTATCTTTATTATTTTTCCGATTAAATTTTTCGGATTTTCTGAAAATTATTTACCACAATTTTCTTAAATCTTCCATACTCAGATTATATTTTCATTCATCCACATTTTTTATTTTTTCTAATTTCCATACGTTACTGTTTTTCTCTCGGAAATTCGCTCTCCCCACTATTCGAACAATGGAGTTTCACCACTAGTGATATAAAAAACATATTTCACGACTTTTGCATATCACCGCGAATGTCGCGTTTTTCACCGAGTTTTACGACGCCACTTCACGTAAAACGGGTAGTCGTGAAACTCCATTGTTGCCCTCGAATTCGGAAAAAAAACAAAAAAAAAGACATCAAGAATTTTCATATTATCACTAACACGATTCTCATAACAAAATGAAATAAAAAATCAAATGCATTCCTCTTCTTTCGTCAGCATTAATACCATAATTCTGCAAACTCTCAATTTTCCTACATTGGACTTTCACCCTAGTGATATGTGAAACACTAGTGAAAAAATATATTCATATCGCGCGTTTTTTCACCGAGTATTACACATAATACTCCATTTTTCAATCGGCGTGATAATCATGCAATGCTTTTCGCCAAACTTTCATTTCTGCATCGAAAGTCCTTTTACTAATTCTTCTACTCGCATCTGGTGTCATCGGATCTATTCCCGTTCTCCTTTCCGACGGCGCTTTACTCGAAATATATTTTTTATATCCCTCCGTAGACTTTCCAATTTCAATTTGTTTTCTCCGAATTCGCTCCCGTTTTCCCACATTTTTCCGATTTTCCCATACCACACTCGCGATTTTCTTCCCATCAAATTCCGAATTCCTTTTTTCGTCACTTTTTCCGCAGGGCTAGGCGACGGAATATTATCATTCTCCTTGAAAATCGGATCGGGAAAAAGCGTCGGACCGTTCACTATTTTCCGCACTTTCTTCACTTTATTTTCGCTTCCCTCCATACTTCTTTTTTTACTGAATTCGTCTAAAGCCATCACCGACTGAACCGTTTTCGAGTCCTCCGGTAAAATCAAACCTTGGCCGTTCATCAGAAATCCAAAACCAGGAGGACGGCTCGATTCGCTCTCCATAATTTTCCCAATCTTCGCTGTGAGTTTAGATACACCTTCAGCAGCTTCAGCATATGTCACTTCACATACGTCTGGCACGAAAGAGTCTTCTTCCTCAGCTGAGATTGCTGCCCAGTTGATCTTCCCCTCGAGAGTTGGAAGCGACATTTTTAGGGCAAATGCTACTATACAGAATTGTCACTAAAATGTTCATAGTTTATTACTCATAATATACGTGAAGTGGCGTCGTAAAACTCCGTGGTGATATGCAGTAGTCGTGAAAAAAGTTTTTTTTCTATCACTATGGTGAAACTCCAATGGTATTTGTAAACAGAAACATACGCGTCTGGTAGCTGAGATTATACGACTCACTTTTGAAACTAATTCGGCATTTCTCAAGACTATGGCTACTGCTGTACAGAGTTGTCACTAAAATTATCTAGTTTACTTTTCACAGGAGTATCCACTACAATACTATTGAAAAATGAATCTTTCAATTTCATCACACAATTTTCCGGGCGCGCGCGGTTTTCATTTCTCTCGAAGTTTTCATCCATCTGTAGAAGTTTTGAAAAATTTTTTCGTGGTGAGAAGTCGCACTGTAGTATAGCCAATACTATGTACCGTTGTTCCGCCAGTCTCTTTGCGGGCTCTCTTTATTTGTTTGATTGGTTAAGTCTGTTGATGGTCACTTGTGACTCGTATAATCTACCATATCAAACGTGTATAATTTTGTTTCCACGAAAAAAGTGAGATTATTCTGATCCTTCAATGGAAATTGTGATCAATACTGCTGAGAATTAACTTTCAAGGGGAGTTAACTCTGGTGAAAGCGCAATTTTAGCGCTGAGATTGCGATTTGTATGGCTCTGTTTATTTGTTTGATTGGTTAAATCTGTTGATGGTCACTTGTGACTCATATAGTCTACAATGTCAAACGTGTATAATTCTGTTTCCACGAAAATCGATGACTGTTAGCGTAATATTAGTTGACCATGGACACTTTTCCCTCGGGCGGAGACCCCTCCCTAGTTTTCTCAGTTTTCCCATAAAATGATTCATTTCATTCTGCTAGTGAGTAGACAAGGAAAAGTGAGGTAATACAAGAGGAATAGTAAATTCTGATTAATGGGAATATATTCTGAAATTTTCCTCAAGTGATTTTGGCTAAAAATGTACGAAAACCAACGAGAATTTCCCAAAATTTTATCGAATTTCTACATTTATGGTAACACATGTAGTTATTATTATTATATATTCCCAAACTGTAACGACCCGTTTACGCGAAGTGGCGTAAAACTCGGTGAAAAACGCGAAATTCGCGGTGATATGCAGTAGTCGTGGAATATGTTCTTCACCACTGGTTTTCACGTCACGGGTGAAACTCTATTAAATACATTTTTTATTTTTACAAAATCGGCACTGAAATTTCGGAAATTGGAAAATTAGTTTTTTTTTGGAAAGTTGGTATCCTATATCGCGAAGAAAATATTTTTCAGAAATTTTTGTTGGAAATTTCTCCGAAAAAAATTATTATTTTCCGCAGTTGAAGGAAATATGGTATGTCCTTAACAGCAAGCTATTCGCATGTGAAAAAAATTTACACAAAAAAATTTCCCGAAATTGCGAATTGAAGTCAAAAATCGCTTTTTACAACTTACAATACGAATCTTCAAAAATAGTAGTTTTACAGCAAAACTGAAAAAAAAATTACCCTAATTTTTCCCTGGTTAAAAAAGTACGAAAATTCGCAGAAAAAATTGAAAATTTCGAGAAAATTTCAAGGAGTTCCGGATGGCTGGTTCGGGAAAGGTTTTTGAATGATTATTCTTTTATATGCCAGAAATTCGTTTTGGTTTTTTCCCTTGAAATTTTCACAATATTCTACAAAATTATGATAAAATGATTCATAATTTTTACCTTATGATTTTGTTATTTTTGTGGAAAAATATGCATATCGTCAATTGCATGCGCTGGTGATAGTATCGAAATTCTCGGAAAATTTTGCAAAATCATTGTTGTTGAATTCGTAAGGAAACTCTTCTGAGCTCAGCTGAGGTATATATTCCTATAACACTGGGAAGAACATCAACTGATCACAAAAAAATTCTTCCCAGAAGTAAATTTGCCTCATTTTGTATTTCTACTCTCAGATTAATGAGGTGGTACGTGCCAACAACTGTTCAGGATCAACAGAGGGATGCGAAAGAGGTCCGGGTGATAGGCGTATCTTTGTGTGCATGCGTGCTGAGATTTTACTATAGTATTAATCGCTTACTCAAAGGGCAATTTTTTGTGCATGCGTGCTAAAATTTTTCTCTAGTATTAATCGCTTACTTAACGGGCAATTTTTGTGCATGCGTGCTGAAATTTGCTTATAAGAAATTGCAAATAGTTGAATACAGGGACCTCATTTATAGGCTTCGCCTTGGGCACGTTTTGTATCTTTTCTGTGCATGCGTGCAGGTATCTAATCTTGTTCTCAAAAGAGGTCAGAAATTGTGTAATATTGTGGAATGGCGAGAACAGAAGATTGTGTATAGAAGGTGAGCATTTTAATGGAGTTTCACGACTACCCGTTTTACGTGGACTGGCGGCGTAAAACTCCGTGTAAAACGCGATATTCGCGGTGATATGCAGTAGTCGTGAAATATGTTTTTCATATCACTAGGGTGGTGAAACTCCAATGATGAATATATAATATAATAGCATGAATAGTAACGGCATTCTTAATATAAATGAAGATATGTATAATTATAATAATAAACTAGGCCTTCGTGACGAAGGGGCAGAGCTCACTGAGTCCATGGACTCAATCAATGAATGTTACATAGGTCCAGCCCGGTTCGATCCCCGGGTTGGACATTTCTCCGTCATTAAAGTTTTTCGTGCATATCTCTTCGAGCTGTTCGCATAATCGAATTTTCCGATTTTTCTCAACACCTCCGCATATAGAGGAGTCGTTTGATCTGTCTGGTAGCTTCCTACGCTTCGTAGTTAAGCCAGAATAATTCTGCACGCACGCACAACGCGAAAGTGCCTGTTGTTGCGGTATATGCTTCGCTCGCTTCGCAACTTTGAAAAAGTATATGATATAATAACATTAATAATAATGGTATTTGTAATATAAGAATGAAGGTATATATAATTGTAATGATAAAAATGCATTTTTAATAAAGTTGAATATTATAGTTAACTCTGATAACTTCAATTTATTAACTCTGCCAAGTACAGTGTGGGAATATATGTTCGCTTTCCTAAACTGAGCTCAGAAGTTTCCCAAGCTAACTATAGAATTCGGGTAGAAGTGGAATATAGAGATCAACAAGAATTTCCCAAAATTTCCTCAAAATTTCTATAGATCATGTAGTTGGCTATGTGTGTATATTCCCACGCCGATTGCGTTAAACCTAATTTAATCACTTCGTTAAAAGGATAGAGGATCTTTAATAACGCCGCATATCATTTTTGTATCATCACTAGAGAGGCTGTCTATGGACCTATTTTGAATCTTTATCTCTCAACCTCAAGATACGCTTCATTATACTTCGTCTGCTCAATCGATCGAGATGACAATGAGCTCATCGCGCTTGAGACTATCCACCTCTACGTGGAAACGCTCGACAGATATTTTGGAAACGTGTGTGAACTTGATGTTATTTTCAACTTCCATAAAGCGTAAGAGAATTAAATTAATGATTTTGTGAAATTTATATTTTTTATCAGGCAATACATTTTGGATGAAGTTTTGGTCGCGGGAGAGTTGCAAGAATCTTCAAAGCGCGCGGTGAGATTTGCATTGAAAATTTTATAATTTATTTATAGTGTGATGCGAAAAATTGTCGGAAAACTTTTTAAACCATTCTGCTTTCGATTAGTTGAGTAAATTAGTTGACTTGTTTAATCAGAAGTTTGCAGAGCTTTACAGCGGTATACGGAATTCGGATCAATGGAGTTTCACCCTAGTGATATGAAAAACACTAGTAAAAAACATATTTCATGACTACTGCATATCACCGCGAATATCGCGTTTTTCACAGAGTTTTACGCCACTTCACGTGAAACGGGTAGTCGTGAAACTCGTGAAACAAGAGAATGCGTTTTTGCAAGTGTTAATTTTACAGTTGCTCATTTTCCCTCTATACCGACCACAAAGATATCAATAGACTCAAAATCATTAGAGAATTCAATTGATGCATGTACGACATTGAAATACGGACTTTCCATGCACACACGGACTTCCAAGCCCCATGCACACAACGGGAAATGGCTGTGGAGAAACTGCTGATCATCACTTTACAACTAGCATATAAATCTGTCACCACTTCACCTTCGGTAGTGTTTGATTTCGTATGACATTCATCGTGCTTCAAAAAGCGCGCGCCCTAAATCAGTATTTGTCTGTTGTAGGTTCTACGAGCGATCTCTGCTGAGGATGAACTGGAAAGTGAAAAGAATTCATCATCGTCGAAGCGTCGATAATGAATGCTTTGTATGATGATGGTAGCTTTCAGAACATTTTGTTTTATTGTTAATTGACGACCGCTTTCTGTGAGATTTTCCCGAGGGATGAGGTGAACTTGAATATCTATTTACAGGTGATATTGTCGTGGACAGGTAGGTAGGCTTCAATGCTGTGCTGCAACACAGCAGCACAGGACAAGTCGGAGGCAACTCTGTGCACGCGTACACTGTGTACAATAGCTATGTGAAATAGATCAGCTTAGCGGACGACTACCGATGCCTTTTGGAGAGCACTCGCAACGGGGCAGTACGTCAAATCTAAGCGAGATGCATAAAAACCTAAGAGTATCAGCGCTCGCCCTAAATGGAAGGTTAAAGTTGATATACAGATGATGACCGCAACGCAAGTGAGAATCTAAACTGCAATTCCAAAAAAAAGAACTGTAGGGAAAGCCGACGGGAAAACCAGAAACCCGAACTGTTATCGAAGGCCAAGCTGTAATCCAAGGCCAAGTCGAAATACAGGTGAGGACGTGCGCTAAACTTCTTTAAAAAACAGGCCTATTCTTCAGAAATAAGGATTTATCCACTCACAACGGGAACAATACGAATCTACAAAAATAGTAGTTAATTATCGATTAATCCATTCAACTAGTTGAAAATAAATTACACATGGTGAAACTCTTGGACAAAGTTTATCGGAAGAAAGTGTTTGTTTCATGAGTAGGGTCCGATTTTCAGTACCTATACAGGAGGAAGAGTAAGGTGTGTTGGTATGTAATGATGTAGTCCGTGTATGTCGACTCTACTGTGCGAGAGAGCATTATCCTTTGCCAAGCGCCATCAGTACCAAGACATGTATACTTCCTTACTCTGCCTTGCGTGAGCTCGTTAGCCTCTGACGCCCGTTCCCGGCAGCCTCCGATAATACAGTCTGTATTATACCGATTCACATCAGGCTCGTTTTGGTGCAGTACGAGTTCATATATCATTCGAAATTTGAATTTCAAATATTGTATCGCTGTTGTGATTATTCTCGGAATCAGTGTAGTTACTAAGGCTCTATTATGTTCGTCTTTGTCATCAATTTAATCGCCTAGGATTTCGACGGCTAAAGGTCTTGAGTTCTATCACTACTGTCTTAGTTTTGGTCTTGATGACTTACCTCAGTTAGATGGTATTTTCACACATGATTCATTACAGCAAACCCCTGCCGTCAGGACCAATCTACCGTAGACAGCCCTCAGTTTCTCTCACACAAGCCATGATTTATATCTTTTCGGTGGCATTTACCTCTACAGTAGTCTTACCTCTGTGTTACATCACTTGGTGGACTTCGCAAACGCCATCTTATAAACCCATTGAGAAGAAGTGAATCTTTATGAATGCCCCTCAATAAACGACTACGTTGATTGGGATATTTTCTTACCTCGGGAGACTTCTTCCGTTATGCGATTGCTCAGAATCGACCACCTCGACTGAAGGTAGCAGCAAGCCAACAGCGCTTATGCTCACTTCCGGGAGATCTTGAACCGAGTTGGGGAGATTGTTTGCCAATTAACCCGATCGTAGACCCAGAGAGATGTTTGCTGGCGACGCGAACGGAGTTGTTGAAAACTAGTAGGGACTTTGTTGGAAAAGTATGCATGTCTGCTGTACTCGACATGATGCTTATAGAAGTTGATGAAGTTATGCGAGACCTTGGATGTCAACCGATTGTCACTTTCGGGACCGCGTTAGGAGCTTGCAGGAACGGTACGCATATACCCCATACGGACGACGTTGATTTGGCGTAAGCATATCGTATAGTGTGGCAACGGATTTTGTATGGCTGTTGTGAACTGATTGAAAAACCGGAAAAGTTAATTTGCTGGAAAATCCCACCTTTTCCCATTGGGTGTTTCACAGTTGTTGAGAAATAAAAGAAGTAATTAGAGACGAACGAATGTCTTCTTGCGTAGATATGTGAGAGAAGATGGAAGCGAAGACTGCTTGGGCGAGCGGTTCGTGGAGTTGTTAATGTCTCGTGGACTATATGCATTTACCGACGACCTCATTCGGGTTTGCATCGCACCTTTCCATCCTCTGGCTGCGAATCTTTATGATATGCATAACGCCACGCCTTGCAGCTCTGAACGGTCTTGTGGTTACGTTGATATTTATCCGTTGGTACCATACTACGGTGATAAACCTTACCATCGACCAGGGAAGTTGTACAGACATGTGCCATACGACGGGTATCGGATGAGTGAGGAACAAATATGGCCGCTACGGGAAGTGTCCATAAATGGCAGAAAATTCGATACTTTTGCAGATGTGGAAGATCTGCTTGAACGAAGCTACGGTAAGGATTTCCTTCATCCGAAAGGAAATGATGAGTACCTTCGCGACCTTGATATCGTCACATGATACTCTGTGGTTGACCTAAGATACACTCGAGTGTTTGACAATGACGTTTTGTATGCACGATAATATTATTCGTTGTAGCTCAGAAACGCGACCCATTGTGCTGTTGAGCTCCACCAGTTGACTTTTCTGTGAAATTATTGGAGGAAGGGTCAAGCGTCAGTGACTCAGCTGGTGTAATTTGTAGGGAAAATTGCGGTCATCGACATCATAGTCAGCCTCGTCGTTATTGCAGTGCGATTATTGCACTTATCAACAGAACCAGTATTGAGGGTGTGGGTGACAAGCACCGATGTACGATTCGCGAAAGGATCGCTTTAGCATATCTGATACATGCTGATTAATCAAGACAGCAAATTGCTGTCAGCAACGCTCCCATGACAGCACGAATTCGATTTGGTTTTTCCCTAAATTTTTTCAGCAGTCTGGGAATTCATGATAAAATATTTGACAACTTTTGTTTGCTAACCTGATGTTATGTTTGGCAAGACCAGTGTTGAAGAATATGTGGTGCGGAGACGGTATGAGGTCCCCAGCCGGTGGAGTCAAGCCCGCTTTGGAGGAAGAATGGGAAGTGTTTGGTTCTCTGTATTGTATTGATGGAAAGTCTCGTCAGAGGCTAGGGTCAACTCCAGAGGAAGTGATTCGACGGGCGAGCGAGCTCGGTCGCTCGTAGGTGCTTCAATAATCCGAGGATTCTGAAGGAAAGTTATTCGTAACTGACAGTTTTTTTCTTGTAGTGGACTGGGTGACGCGACAGATCCGTGTGGGACGTGAGTCTTCGATACGACACCACTTAGTCGGGCACCTGTCTCGTGACCGAAGCTTCAGGGGGGAGCCCTGCAAGTCTTCGGTCCTCTCCACGCCACCTAGTCGACTAACTCTATCAAACGCCCCTGGTTTAGTAAATAGTTAGTATAACTAGAAGATCACTGGAGCCAGAGTTGACGATCTGGCACTACAACCGGTGTAGTCCAACGCAATCTGACTCCGCTGCCGTTCGCACAGATGTACA